CCCCCCCCCGGTGGCCCTCGAGCGGTCGCGTTCGAAAACGCACGCCGCTGCAAAGACTCATTATGCCTGGGAGGCGCGCCCGCCGAGGATGCTTTTCGAACGCCACCGCCACCTCGGCAACCCCATGACCGCAGCCACGGAGCTAGCTCGCTGCCTCTCGCTCTATTTTCCGCCGTTGCGTCTTCTCTGCTCCATCTCGCGCCCTGCACAAGTTATCCTTTCTAGCCCGCACCCTTCGCGCATCGCCCACGAGCGCCAGGGAATCATCCAGAAAGTACGTCTGACACGCGCCGTTACAAAATTGTCAAGTTTAGCCTGTGCCGGCTCTCATAGCGCCTGGCAGATAGGCAACATCTTGCCTGCAGTGCATGCGTGTACGGCGGGGTGGCCTACCCCGAGTCTCGCAGGCGCGGACCTCCCTTAGTTTGACGAATGAATCTGAGAAAACACGGACGTACTTTCTGGACGATCCCTCAAGGGAAGAAATGGTATACAGTACTCCCGCACCCATCTCCTCCCTCTTCAGCTATGGGCTGCTGGGGAGCGTGCGACAAAGTCGGCGAGACTTCGCCCCGCCCCGCCCCGCCCCGCGCGGGCGCATCAGGCCAGGTCCGGCTGAAGCAACTTTTAATCCCTGAGCCGCACTGGCATTGGCCGGGTAGCTCAAACAAAGTAGGCCGCCCTCCCTTAATCAGAGCCTGCTGTGGGGCGGCCCCCGCCTCAGTCCTCCTCTCTCCCCCCTCTCTCTCTCACTCTGCCCGGCTCGCGCAACTTTGCGCGTGGCCACAGAGTTGCCGCGTGTATTGGCATCTAGAGCAGCGCAACACTTTATTTGCACGAGCGTGTGGCGTGTGGGGACTAGCGTGCACGAGACCAAATTAGGTGGAGAGGGGGGGGGGGTAACATACACACGGTAAAAACAATGTATCACTGTTTCAGGAAAAAGGGAAAACTTTGAGGACCTCCTACCATAGAGGAAAACTCCTCAGATCTCTCACCCCAGATTTTAAGGAACCTCCCCCAAAAATGGGAAAAAATCCACTGGAAAAACAACCCTTTTTAGGGAGCTATTGAATTTTTAGGGATGCTACTGCACTAGTGCCTCTGTAGAGGCGCGATTTGTGCCAAAAATAGCACCTTTGGGGGGCAGTAGCACCTTTCTAGAGGCACAATTCCACTAACGCCGTTAAAAGGCATTAGATAGCACATTTGTTTCTCCAGTGTCCCAGGGCTGACTTTCTCGAAATCTGAAGAGCTTTCCTCAAACCAAGGGAGTTTCTCAAAGACAGAATTGTGAACGGCCGGAACACAGTTTCCATCTGAAGGTTTGTCCGCTTTGATCTTCTGCGTCTTGGACAGCCGAAATAAAGTATACGTCCCCCGGTTCCCTCCCCGTGTCTCTTTAATTCCTGCGAATTGGGGGACGCACCGTTGAGAAAGTAAACTATACTTCGAGTGTTTTTCAATTTCCGGTCAGTCAATAAAGAGAAGCTGCCGCCGCCGGTATAAGGAGAATCGCGTCGCCAAAGACCGGGTCTCAATATAAATCACCCCACTTGTTCCGTGCGCCACGAAAATTCTCCGAAATTCGATAAAGGGGGTGGGAGGGG